TATAAATATTAATTAACTTTGTCATTCTTGTCAGAAAGAGCAGATATGTCTTCAGAGTCTTAGGTGGCGTTTCAAGTGTTGCTCTTATTTATTTCTCCAGCCTTGCTTTCAGACCTGGATGAAAAAATTCACCTATGTAAAGCAAGGTCTAAGGCCTTCATCAATGATTCACCATAGCCATAAATGATGAACCCAGATCTATCTTTTCCAACAGAAAATCTTTGAGAACTGCTAGATAAAAGGAGTTGTAATGAGTTCTGCTACTTTTAAGTCATGAAGCTTATTCTTCTAAGTTATTTATTCACTTTAAGAAGGAAAGGATCAAGAAATGAGTAGCAGAAGGCTTAATTAAACCTATTTTGTGTCTTTCATGATGACACTATGGTGACAAATCCATACAACTCTTACTTTAGAATCTCGCGTTTAAAGGCAACAAAGAGTTGAAGCATGTGCTTAATTTTAAGCACCTGCATCATGCAGTCAGCTTCAAAAAGATTAAGCAAATATTTTAAGATTAAATACCTTATGGACTAGGGCGAAAATTCTTAGCACCTCACACCATTGAACTTAGTTGTATAAGATGAATGTTTCTATAAACAAGAAAGTAAGTATCACTGTAACTAAAATTCAAATAATGTGTTTATCCAAAGTTTAAACTAACCAAAAAGATCGAATTTTGCTCAAAGCTTCATTTTTCATCATGTTTATATGAAAAAATACAAACTTATGATTTGAAATTCTTTACGATTCTCTTAACAAAAGGAAGTGCTGGATTTGCAGAATTGCAAAGTAAATATGTGCAAGTGGCTTGAACATTTATGTGGCAAATTGTGGTTTAGCTATTTGGTCTTAATCACTAAAGACCTTAGTCTTGAAATCTCATTTTGTAAGCAAGGTATCAGAAATTATCCCACCTTGCATACAAAAATTATCAAAGAGGTAGGAAGCAGAGTATCCACATCTAAACTGGATGTTAGATCCTTTCCTTCAGTAAGATAACACAATTTCCTCAATCTTCATTTAGCTAAAACCCTTTGTGAAGTGGGACACAAGTTCATATTAATCTCAGGTTCACTGAACTACATTCCCCAATTAATTAACTATTTATAAATAAAATGCAACCATCCATATTTACAATTTTAACTTTCCCTTTTGTATGTATCTGGTTTGCAGATGTATTGTAAGCATATTTATTAAAACCAGCTTGAAAGTATGCAGAAAAAAAATCCAAAATTTTTATAGTGCAAATCTTCGTTGTAGCTGTAGCTGTTCTTAACCAACGTAGTAACATATTTCACATTGCCGTGTTGGTTTCAGAGCAAAGCAATGCCCAACTTAGCCTGTATTACAGAATGGTCAGGGGCATTTTTAAAAATTAAAATCTAGTTGCATTCTGAGTTCTTTTCCTGCTTCAGCCTGTTCTAATTGTTCTTTTACAGCATATAACACAGTTTAGCTTTCTAAGGTTTAGAAGAAAAGTAGACATTGTAATATGATTATATGTCACGTATTCTGGAATTAATATGATAAATCAAGGGTTTTTTTATTTCTAGAGGACTGGAATTACATAAACTCTTTACAAATTAATATTAGGAAATTATGTAGTAAAGGCAACAAGATGTCCAGGGAGGATGATGGCAAGAAAGAAAACATGGATAATTTCTTAGGAGGTGAACTCTAAAATGGTTTGTCAGAATTGTGCCTTGATGGAGTGGGCAGTCCACAGGTTGTCTCCCCAGAAAACTATTAGATGTCTGCATCATGGCTGGCTTCTTACTCTGTACTTGGCTGCAGAGCCATGGTATCTCATCAGCTGCAAAAAGACATTTGCATTGTACCTAATCACTGCTCTTCTCTGTAGATTAAATGAGAAAATACATCTAATAAATAAATAAATAAATAGATAGATAGATTGAGAGGAAAATGATACAAAGAAACAAATGACAATCTGATTAGTAGAATTGCAGTGAGGAGTTCCAGAAGTAACATGTAAGAAGTAATTCACCCCACAACTTCTCTACCTTTTTTTTTAGCCAAGGCTGAAAATATCACAGACAGTAACCTTGTGAAAGAGTGAATAATCCACAGATAGATAAAAGAGGTTTAGTTTTATAACGTAATGGAATACGTAGATTGTACATGAGTCACAAGTAAGCTCAAAATACATCCACTGTTGTATTTACATCCAAATACATCCAAAGATGTTGCACACTGTTCCAAAGAGAGGCTAAGGAACCAGCACAAACATATGCAGTTGTTGTGCAATAAGGCAGGAAGATTTAGTCAATTTGGAGTCTCCATTTTTTTTCTGTTTCTCTTTAGATTCAAGACACTTGTATTTTAGCTCATGTACAAATGCCAAAAGTAGCCATAACTGAGAAAATAATATTAAAGTTTAATTTTTAAGCCCTCTCTATAGGTGTTCTAACAACAGAAATGAGAGGAGGCAAGAGAACAAACTAAAACCATCTAACTTGTGTGCTTAGTGTGCAACTTACTTCATAACACTTTTACACTTTGTAATTAGGTTTTTCACGTTGCTCACCTTAAAATATAGTGTTTTTCAACAAAGCTGTGTTTCTGCTTGCAGAACTGTTTGCCATGACTGCTTTTTTTTTTTCCCATTTTTTTTTTTTTTTCAGATGCTCTTGCCTTCATATATACACATTGTCTCTTCATGCAGTAAAAACTGAAGCCAGAATAACTAGCTTTCCCTTTTCCATTTCCTTTCACTGCATAGTCTTTAAAGGTAAGTCTGAGATATCAATAACTTTTCCGTAGAGCCAACCACACCCGAAAGTACAAAATTCATTAAAGGTAGGATGGGCTGAAGGCATTTAGTAATTACTCCTATAATGCCCTTACATTTTAATTAACTGATTAGAATCATGTTAAGAAAACAATAAACTTTGTAGATGAACTGTTCTTTGTGATTGTGAAGCATACATGACATTTGAAGCAGTAGCAAACTGATAGCTTTTATCTTTTTAACAACCTGCTAAAACTTCTGAAATGTAACTTTAGCCACATGATTTTTGCAATCAAGGATTCTGACTTACTTGACATTATGTCAGTGTTTAATCTATTTTCCCTCAGTTTTCTGCATAAAATCCTATCGAAGGCAAAAAAAATCCTGGGAAACAATGTTTTTATTTACAGCATAGGGCATTTTTAAATATTTTTTAAAAAATATTTCTTAAAATAGTATAAAATAGCATGACCTTGGGCATGAGAAAAAAAAATACATTTAAAGGAGAGAAAAAAAAGATTTTTTTCCTGTGTTTAAATCTTAAAAAATATTTGCTATAACAGTTAAAAATTTTTAGAAGACCTTTAACTGCACATAAGTGGTCTTTTGGCTTTGCTCCATAAAGATAACCAGTGATACAGGAGGCTTTTTCAAATGTTTTATCTCTTAAAATGTCTAAAATAATGTTAATTTTATATCTCTCTCTTTCAAATCCAAAGACACCATATAACTATTTCAAAGTCCTATATTAATTATGCACACATTTTCAAATTATATAGTACATAAACATTTATAATTGCAATCACTAATGTTGAACTACATGAAAATAACCACAACAACTGTGTGACTATGCAGTGGTGAGAAAACTAAGCCGATGTAATAAACATGTTCTCTTTTTTCAAGTTCTGTGATATTTTGCATAGGCACATTACAGCACATGTTTCTTTTTTAACACAGTGTGAGAGGCCTTGTTTAATGGTCCCTCTTTTTTCTTTAGAGCTGTAAGTCATTTCTCTCCTTAATTAGAAGAACAGGTCTTCAAGCTGCAAATGTAACCACTTTTCACAGCAGTACAAACCATACAATCAAGCAAGTCCATGAACTTAATTTTTATTTTTTTTCCATGAAAGTGGTACATTTCTAAGCTTCTGGGATCCACGGCTTTCAGTGAAAAAAGGGAAACTGAATGCCATTGTATGTACCTCAATATCTAATAATCAGAAATGCCTTGGTTTATCCTTGGGATTATAAATTGCCCTTCAAGCCATTAGAACCCAGTGAAATTGCAGGACATCAATTACTTCAATTACTTCAAGGTTAGGATCTTTCCTTTCAAAAACCTTTTTCAATGCTTTATTTTCTCTCTTACTGAAAATAACTGTAGACATACCACCCTGTTGTTAACAATCAATACCATAAAATGTCTTTCTCCATCAATACTGAAATGCTATTGTACAAGCATGATGTTTTAAAAATTCTTATGTTTATTTCAGAGTACTGTAAGCTAATGTTTGTCTAGTCCATCTCTATCTATCTGTAATAATCTTTAGAGCTCAATGCTCACAAGTTATTTCAGAAAAGTTGTGATTACACTACAGAAGTTTTCTTAGATACGAAGTAAGAAGTCTCAAAAATACTATGTTTTAAATAATAAAACCATCCTTAATGCTATAAAATCTTCCATCTAAGTGTCTAAAAAGCACATTTCAGTTTCCTAAAACAAGTAGAGACTATTTGCACTTTGGGAATCAGTGTAAACTTTTTATCACCTGAGATAACAGGATGAAAGTATTCTATTCTTTGCTTCAAAAAAAATTTACCTGAACTATCTGGTCAAATTCTAGACAATGTCTTAAATATGTTTAAACTGAAATAAGAATTAAAATATTTTAGTAGATTTACTTTGGATCTGATTTGCTACAAAAAATTATGTGATATAAGCTTTTGACAGGTTGCTATGAGTTTACAGTATGGTGACATCAATTTATATTGTGAATTGCTTCACTATCAGCAAGTTTGCTGATGACACCAAGCTTTGTGGAGTGGTCAACACACTGGAGCAATGCCAGGCTTGAGAGGTCGGCCCATGACAACTTCATGAAGTTCAATAAGTTCATATGCAAGATCTTGCATCTGGGTCAGGGCAATCCCAAGCACAAATACAGGCTGGACAGAAAATGGATTGGGAACAGCCCTGAGGAGAAGGATTTGGGGTTGCTGGTTAATCTATGTTAAAAAAATTACTACTCACATGCAAACTGAAGAACAGCCTCTCTGCTTAAAATACTGCCAAATGTGTTGGTGGTTAAGCACTGATATTGTCCAGAATCCTTCATTTCACTGGGGTTGTTGATGATCAAGCTTCCTTCTATTAAACTGAAGCGATAATCACTTTCAATGTCGATTTCAGTTCCATTTCGAAGCCATCTGAGTAAAAAAGAAATAAACTACTTGAGCATTTCAATGGCAGAAGGAAGGCATCAAGCTTAGTATACAGAATCTGGCAGCCCCAGTTGTTGTAAGGATGACAACTACTCGAAGATGCTCTGTGCAGTAGCCCATTGCTTTGGCAAAGTCTTTGATGGAGACATTCCACAACACATGCTTGACAAAAGCTAAGTTTTTCTGAAAAAGATAAAACAACAACAATCACAAAAATGCACAAGGAAAATAATTAATTCAACCTCTGAAAAGAAAACATGTTCTTTGTTTTGCCTGTGTTGAACCAAATAACAACTTTTTTTCCCTGAAGAACCATATCATCCAGAAAGGCTTCAGACTTGAACGCTGTGTGGCAAATGCATCCTTTATGTAAAAAATAAGACTTTTACCATGCTTACAATAACAAAAGTTTCAATTAATATTCTATCATTAAAGCCTTAGGACCACATGAGCTTAGAGTTAGCAGAGCTGAGTGTGCTCTACATGAGAGCAAGGAACCCTTTTTTGCTATTCTTTCAGCATTTATTCTTCTGGGCCCAAGAAATAGAGAAACATGATTTAAGTATAGAAAGCAAGACCTGTGAAGATCAAGGAGGTAGATTTATGTACTTAGGCTGTTTTAAAGCAAGGGTTCTTGGCAATGGACAAAGGCAAAATAGTACCAGCTGGGACAGGATAAATGATCCTCAGAGAATTCTGGGACAGGAGAGGTTGGAATTAGCTGGTGGCTGGTCAAAGGTAATGCCTGGCAGCTACCAGGAAAGTGGATGCTCAGACCTTTAGAGGAGGAAGAGGAGTCAGCAGAAGGAATGGTAAGTCTGGGAGGTGTTTGGGAGTGAAAAGAAGAGCCTGAACAGGAAAGACAGGGATGGGAGTGAAGGTGGAAAAACCCAGTCTGTAGAATACATTACAAAGTATCACACCTGAGCCAAAGCATTGAATAACTCCTGAATGAACACTTCACTTTTGAGGTTTCAGAAGCAACCTAAGAGTCTTGTAATTTTTCTGCTGCTTGAATGAGTTTTGGGGGTGTTTTGTTTGTGGGGTTTTTTCCCCTCTAGATATTATCTGCCAAAAGGCCTCATCCCTCTCATTCTTCTCCAAAGACTGAAAAAACAAATCCTGCAATAGTCCATTGGCTGCAAGAGAAAAGATTTTGTAGGCTCATAATAGAATCATAGAATGGTTTGGGACCTGAAAGATCATCTAGTTTCAACCCCTGTGCATGGCAAGGAAGACCTCCAAGTAAATGAGGTTGCTCGAAGCCCCATTCAACCAGACCTTGAACGTTTTCAAGAAGGAAGCACCCACAACTTCCCTGGGCAACCTGTTTCAGTGTCTCACCACCCTCACAGTCAAGAATTTCTTCCTAATGTCTAACTTAAATTACCTTATTCCAGTTTAAAGCCATTGTTCCTTGTCCTGTTACTACATGGCCTTGTACAAAGTCTCTCCCCAGCTTTCTTGTAGACTTCCTTCAAGTAGAATAGAGAGGGCCTTCAGATAGATTTAACAGGCTCCAGCATTCTGGAGTAACCTCTGGGGGAAGAGGAAAGAGGGGCGGGTGGCTGTGCAATATCTCAATTAAAGAATAATAATCCACATAAGAAGACTTTTTATATTTGGTTTTGTGTCAAACTGTATAGAACATGAAGTTGTTTAAAGAATGCAAAGAAGAGACAAGCAGTGTAAACAGGTGTGCATTGCTAGTTTGCAGGCACTCTGCAATTTCAAAGTTTCTTCAGGAAAATGTCAGGCACTTCTAAGCTTTGCCAGAGTTCAGCAAAGACTGGAAGAACTTGGCAATATCTAGACTGCAGAGGCAACTTCAGCAAAGCAAAGTGATTACCAGTTATCTTGTTAACATTCATGGTGAATGAGGTACTGACAGCAGAACTCAGCTGCAGTAGCTCTGAATTTATCTTAACCCAAAGATCAGAAATGCCAGAATTAGGATGAAATATACACTGTTATTTGCCTTTTTTCGTGTTTGGACTTGTGATCACAGAGGACTCCTACTTCAATTAATGGAAGAAACACTGTTGAAAATATCTTTAATTTGCAAAGGGTGTTAGGGAAATGTCTGTAGGATGTACTACGTTTTTAAAGAGATTCATACATAGCAGAGCTAAAAAGAGTAGGAATTTTTCACCCTGAACAATTTATTAATTATTTAGGATTTTTAATTAAATAATAACAAAAACTAACTTTTACTTATATATTCATATATCTATACGAAATAAAAAAGCATGATACAGAAATTATGGGAGATTTAGGTAACGGAAAATTGAAAATTGCATGTTTGAGCATTTCCAAATGGGAACTGACACAATATGAAGTTGCTTTAATTCGCTTTCTTCACTTAGTTTCATTTTCAGTTAAATTAAATATAAAACTGTGTTTTCATAGTGCTACCCAAAAACTTTGGATCTTTATTGCTGTCTGCCTATATATTCTGTGGTCCATGCTGAATGATTGTAATCCCTTCATGTAATCCAAGCACTTTAGAGGAAAAACAACACTGAATTGTGGAACATGTTTTGTTCTGAGTGATCTGGGAGGATAGAAACACAAATATAATACTTAAAAGGTAACATTTTTTCTTGAAGACAAATGATAGATAATATTTAAAAATATTCTGATTTGTCTTAGGCCGATTTTTTTTCAAGGAGAAATATGATCAGGAAATGATACTGACAAGAGAATTATAACCAGCTTATATGTGTCCTAAGTAAAATAGAAAACACAGTGTTTGAAAACCAATGAAAGCAAAGTAGTGAAGTGTCATCTCAGGGATTTCTGCACCTGCACCTGCCTTTAACTCAGTAACACTGATGATCTGTGAGATCCCACTGGATGCTTGTGAATGTTTGTGTTTCTCACTGAAGGCATCTTATTCTGTATTGTACAGGTCCTGACTTGTGATTCTAAAGTATAATTTCCATAAATGCTGATGAAATTGAATCAGTTTATCGTCGGGAGTTATTCCCTGAATCAATGCATCTAGATAGAATAAGACTGGACCTCAGAAAATTTAAATTTGCAGTTTCCCCTTAAGCAAGAGGAAAAAAGCTCTTTGCAAGGGAGGTGAAAATCTGAAATGATGTGACCATTCTCCATGCTATTAAATGAAGTGACATCCTAGAAGAAAAAAAAAAAAAGAAAAAAAAGAAAAAAAAGAAAAGAATTTGTTAACAAGTTCTGAACACCATCATAAGTTATATAAGTTAGTTTCGGTATTTTAGAGCTCTTTAAATGTTTTTTTAATGTAGCTTTAAAAAAAAAGAAAAAAAAAGTTGTACTGTGTTTTGTTAAACTAATTTTTAGCACCATGGGCCTGACAGCCCATGCAAATAAAGATGTCTATTGTCCAGTGGTTGCAGATAACAGAACAGGGTGTTTAAGTGACACGGAAATGCTGATTCTCCTCAGTACTTCATATGCCAAACATCGGGCAGTGACATGCAACAGACCTTTGCCTATGGATAGGCTTTTTCGAAGCTAAATTCCCTCTGCTCCTGCCCTAGAGAACAGCATATACCTCACAATGTAGTTTATATCTCTTTTCCCTTCCTCTGAATGGTAGTGCATATTGCATATGCTGTGCAGGCAAGTGGCAGCAACAGAAGTTAAACTGTGCTATAAGAACGAGCCCTTTAGGGTCAGAGCTTTGCTTACATGAACAGCAGTCAGGGCAGTTTGTTGATGAGGCTGCTGACACCAGTTAATCTCTGGAGAGCTGAAGGAATGGGTATAACAAAATCATAAGAAAGCCCAGGTTGGAAGGGACCTTGCAGTCCAGGCTTCCATGGGAAGGGGAGCCTAGATGAAATTATCTACCCCCTTGTTCAATTGCATCTTGAAAACCTCCAGTGATGTGGACTCTGCTACATGACTGAAGAGGTTATTTCAGTGAATGATTGTTCTCACAGAAAATATTTCTTTCTTATTATTGAGATGAAACTTCTCCTGTATGAAAAATCTCTTCCATCTTTGGCCCCTTGCCTTCTCCATGTGGTTCCTTGTGAAAAGAGAACCTCTGTCTTCTTAGTAGCCACTTTTTTTGATATGCTGAAATCTGTATTTGTTGACTACGTTTCACTGGGAAAATGCAGAAAATGGTTGGACCATGAAAGAAAGGAAATTGCATAGGTTCTCCAAAAATAAAATCTTTACAAGACTGATGAGGTTGTCTGAGAGGGCTGATCACAGGGCTTCCCTCTTTTAGTGGGAATTTGTGCCTTGTTTCCATGGTCACATGCGATGTTTAATGGACTGCTAGCACTTTTAGAGTATGTAGAACAAATGTATATTTTTTATATCAACAAACCAAAAAATATGTAGTTGAGATTATATAAGGAATGCCAATAAGGAAGAATGCAACATAGCTTTCATCCCACACAGTGAGGAGTTTATGAAATTCTAGTATCTTTACTTCATAGCCTTATTGATGCTTAAAAAAAAACATTAAAAAATTCTGATGTTGTTAGCTGTTACAGACACGTCAAAAAAATGGGCAGAGGGGGGTGCCTCAACATGGAGAGATACAATGCACAGAGAACATAACCTGAAACTTCACATATTGGTTTTCCTTTATTCATTACCACTTGTCCTTCTTGCTTATTCAGAATCAAAAAAACCACCACATTTAATCAGGAAAGCCAGTTGTGTCACAGAGCTGTTTCTGTTATGTTGTTCTCCAAAGAACACTGACTCTCACAGTGGGATTGCAATAGCTAATATTCTGAAAATAGAATTAAAAAAAATCTGAAATAGGTACCTGTATGTGGGAGTAGGATTTCCACGAGCCTGACAATTCAGAGATACTTTCTTCTCCTCAGAATCAGTTGGAAAGATTACGTCATCTGGCTCTTGTACAAACACTGGCCCGTAGTCAACACTTTCTGTGGAAATAGTAGTGCTGTAGTTTAGGAAGTCTGATTAATGTAAATGTATTGTAGCTTTTAAAAAGTGAGATAAAAGTATGCAAAATTATGTTTGTTTTCCAGATGTTCATTACTTCAGATGCTATATCAAAATTCAATAGTGGTGTTTTTTTTAAAGGAAGAAATATTGCTAAGTTAGCAGTAAAATATGTAGTATGATTTCATTTTTTATTATGCATTAGAATGACTATCTCATCAGACATATTTTGGTCTGCAGCCTAATGATCAGCTCAAGAGAATTAAGAAAGCAACAGCAGCAAAGTCTGTTTATACAGTGCAAGGTAAAGAAAAAATTTCCTACTGCTTGCAGCAGCTTATCTCACAAAGACCTAAGACAAAGTTTTCCCCTTAATGTAAAGGAGTTCCTAAGAAGAATCACTTTCAAAATTAAAGGCAGCAACTGGTGGCTACTGTTAAACAACATATAACAAAACCTGACATTTAATTTTCCTCCACAGTCTTGTTTAATTTTGGCATGTATCTATATCTTCATATGAATTTATATTTCTGAATCAGAAAAGCTGGATAAACCCATTGAACACATCTATGAAGAGAGGAGTGCTACCTTCAAAAAGTAAAAGGTTGCAATTATAAGCATTCAAGATCACATAGGCTTGAATAACTAAAATGCTCACTGTGCTCTAGAAGACTATGGAATTTAAATCAACTTGGACTTGCTCGAAACTCTTGAATGATTTATTCCATAACACTCTTCAAATTTAGAGCTCTAGGTTAATGATTTGGGTGAGAGGAGATAGTTACATTGTCCTACTACTTGCAATGAAACACAGGGGAGAAGGGTTTTCTCTGTGTATGGTTTCATATGTTCACGTCATAAAAGTCCTCCAGTTGATACTGAGCAGTTTATAACCTCCTGACATATTTGTTCCACCAATATCATCCTGAAATAAGAAAGGTGAACCTGAAGGCTTTGGGTTTTGGACATTGACTTATAAAAATTATGTACTGCATTCTTCTTCAAAGTCCACACAATTTCAACAACATGTTATGGGCTCACAGTTTTGGGAACTGTGACATTTTTCATACTGCTAATAGTTTTAGAAAGTTTGGATGGACAGGAAAAGGTACACAGGACTATGAGTCTTGGTAAAGAGAAGAAAGTCTTAGAGTCTGAAAAAAAATGAGAAGAATAGTACGTCATAGTATGCTACTCCTGAGATGAAAACTTCCATGTCCTTAAATCCTATGACATTTTGGGTTTCTCAGTTGTGTTACCATAAAGTGAAAAGACCACATGAAAACCTGTTATGCTATTCAGCCTTCCTTTTTAGTGACTATACACTTATTACACAGATTTTTTTTTTTTTGTCTTTTTGCTCTGCTATTCAAATGCAGACTTTGAAAATATCTTTATTTTCTACTTTGTATGCTTCTACTGCAATAGATTAAAATAATTAGCCTGACAATTTGTAAAGAGAGCAAATAAGAGTGTCTTCAATTAGTAGTTTGTATTTTGCATAATTTTCAATCTTATTAGACCCTTTATTAAGACTGTGTGGATTGTGCTCTGCACACAGAAGGTACATTACTCCAGTTGGGTGTATTGGCAGCAATAAAGTTTATGGGGCAGTTACCTGCATTATTTAAAATAAAATACAACCATGGTAAGTGATTTATGACATGTGCTTATATTACTGAAGTTAAAATAACTCCAGTACTAAGTTTTGAGCATTACAGCTGCCACAAAGGCAATGCAATTAGCTGGCAAAACTTACTTCAAGAAACAAAATCAGGTGTAAAAAACATTGCATTGATCCTTTCTTATAATTTGGCTGCCTGCTTCTTACATTGCACAAGAGAAAATACTAATGAATGTGGGCCATAAACAATCAGTTCTCTCACAGAAATACTGTGTTGCACTATTCTTTTGGAAAAATAACCATAACTCTTTAGGCAGAGGGTCACATTTTTAATGGAAGTGACCTAATACTTCTGCTGTGTGGAAGGAGAAGAACAGGTTTTACTTCTGCCTGAAGTGAAGATAAAGGTAACACATAAAGTTCAGTACATGAAAGTAATGTTCCTAAAATATTAAAATATGTAGTTAAGTGAAGACAAAAGTAACCAAAAAAGTTCAATGCAGTTGAGTCAGTTTCCTAAAAGATGAAAAGATGTTGTTAGCTGCTTATCTGCATTTCAAATGGAATGTGGAGTACTGGTAGAGATTATTTGGAGACTCAGAAGCAACATAATAATGAATGAGTTGCTAATCAGTTTGCAGGTAAATTGACTGAATTATTTTTTAGCTAGGTCATCTGGCCTGCAACAGAATAATTGAAGAAAAGGACATGTTCAGAAGAGACCAAAGCACTTGCTGAACAGACAAGACTATATGGTTATTAATTATTTGGGTCAATAAATGAATGATTAAAAAAAAAATGCAATAGTGTGTGACAGATGATTTGCAAGAAAACATAACAATCACCTAATGACATCATCTTAATTTAAATTCCAGTGATAAAAATGAAACTGAAAATCTTATGTACTATGCCTCCTCTCTTTATTTCAAAAGCACTGAAGGAAACACTGCAGATACAAATATTTCCTTCAACTATTTTTAAAAAATATTTTAAAACATTTTTTTCTAATTAAACACACAATGTTATAAAAGCTGAAATAAAATGAAGCTTCAGTAGTTGTATCAATGATGGGCATGTAGCTTATCTAGCTAGTACTTCACCTCCCATTACAGGTAATGGTAAGTCCTGGACTCCTCAAAAATTGGCCCAGAACACCAGTTGGGGTCTCCTGTGTTCCCTTCTAACTGGTAAGTTTAAAGCTACATTGAAACTGTGGAACTTAAGAATATTTTCCAGAAGCCAACACACACTCTGCTAGCATTGCTATTTCATGGTGAGGCACGACTGAGGGATGCAGAGCATAATGGAAGTGAAGTCATGTTGTGAGGCTCATACAGAGTCATAGTGTGAGGCTGCAGATTTGCAAAACTAATCAGTTACGGAGTCAGGACTGAGGAGAGAATTGGACTGAATTTTGACCCCACAGCCTGAAATCTCTTAAACAGAGTGATGTGAATAGCCACCTTAAATTTGTGCAGTTAATCCATTTTTCTAGAAAAAAATAAAAAACCCCAAACGTATATGTGCATGGCACCTCCCATAATACAGGTATTGCTAACTTTGCAGGATAAAATGAACTTTCAGGAAAAAGTTTAATACAATTTTGGCTGCCTTTTTTCATCTTATCAACTTATCAGCTGTTATTTTAAATAATGATTAGTTATTAGAAGTTTTCAACACTTTCAAATTAAAGACACTTAAGGAAGCACAACCTTAATTTATTACTCAAAACCTTCACCTCAGTGGTAAATGAATTGTTAATATTCAGTATTGAGATAAATTACTTCAAATTTCTCCTGTAAATTCTATTATGATAATACTACTTCACCATTTTCAATTGGTCAAATTGTTTAATTTTGATTCTTGAATAACACCAGGTCTTTTTAACCTTTTATGCTGTCTGTGATGTTTCTGAGGCAGGCGTGGCCCCTGAGAGAATCACGCTTAGACTGAAACTTGAAGTACTTGGAGAAAATATATATCTACTGATCACTATGGGATTTAATCAGCCTTCTCAGGAATTGGTGATTCTCATCCACCACTGCTTTTAGGGGCCTGGAGATTATAGGTATGTGGCAATGAAGTGCAACAGTTGAAGAACAAACTTTTCAACAATTTTGGTGTCACTGTCAATCTTGGTACATGCATTACTTGATTCAGAAATTCCAAACTGTATCTATATTAATAACAGCAGCAAATGAGCTTGATGTCATTCTGATTGAGTATTTCCTGTCTGAAGTAGGTGATCACATGGATTTCACCTGATTACTACTGGGAATTTCTTAATTTCTCTTTGAAGAGTATTGCATCACTTATTAAAATATTTAGTCATCATCAAAAACAAAAAAAGATACAATTTATACAGTATAGAGCATAACTGCACGTTGATTAATATTTACAGAGATTGTACATCTGTCCTTTTACAAACTAGGCTGGAGGACTGTTCAATTATGCTAAAGAAATCTTATTAATAAGGATTAATAAGCTTTGGTTACTAGTCCCAGGTCTAATCAGCTACATCAGTCTGCTACTTCTGATGAGACTCTTCCTTGAAAAATTAATCTCTGGGTCTTACCACAGTTTGATCATGAACAGTTGTAACAGAATGTTCTTTGAGACATAATGCTAATCTCATGAGTAACCATGGTGAGGGTTAGATTTTTTAGATGACAGCAGGCATGAATGATTGCTGAGAAAAAAGAAAAAAAAAAATGGGCCTGATTATAAAATCCACTTGAGCAACCTTACAAATACTCTATGGAATCAAACAGGTTTATGTATGTGTTCAAATTTTTACAGGATTAGAAAGACTAGATATTTGAGAACCATACAGGAGAAGTGTTCATAAGCTAAAATGATCACCACAGCCACCTACATCTACACTCTGACCTGTACTAATGCAGTACATTGTATACTGGGGCAGGTTGATCTTGGCCAGCCTTCAGGCACCCACCAGCCACTCACTCATCCCCTCAGGGGGGAAAATACAGTGAAAAGGTTTCTGGGCTGAGATAAAGACAGGGAGATCTCTTACAAGTTACTGTCATGGGCAAAACAGACCCAGCTTGGGAAAACTTATTTACAGTTAAAATAGATTTTGACAGCGAGAAACAAAGACAAAAATTAAAGCACTGCCTTTTCCCCACCCCACTGCCTTTTCCCAGGCTTTTTTCTCCTCTGCCCTGCCTCTTCCTGGCAATAAAGCTGACATGTATGACAAAGGAGCTACAGGAGGTCTCTGAAGTGGCCTCTGAAATAGATGTGCCCAGTCAGTTTATTAATACTGGGAAAGCGGGTATTTCTTCAGATCTTGTCCATTTCATCTGCTCATGTCCCATTAGGAGCACTTTTTTTTACTGCAGATGATGCTGGTGGAGGCTTTGCTAGTTGCTCTGAAGGTGGACTAGACAGATCTTAAGACAAACCATTTCTTTTCAGCTGTTATTCTGTGTTATTCTGCTATTCAGTGTTATTCAGAAACACTGACAAAATTTGTCCAATGGCAGTTGGAAAAAAGGTGATGAGTAATTTAGCAATTTTTTTTAAAAACTCACAAGTTTTTACAGGACTGGGAAAACAACGGTTTATTTCTCTCTTTTTTTTTTTTTCCCCCCCATTTTTCAAAGATCTGTTTAGTTCATGTGGAGATGGAATAATTCTCTAAAGAAAAGCTACAAGTTACTGTAAAATGATAGAACTTCTAAAGCAGCCTAAAAGGAGGGGTCAGTAACAGATCTTTCATCTTAAAATACACACTAGGTGAATACAGATCCTACCCAGAAAAATACTCATTTGACATACCATGGACCAAACCATACCCCAGTGATCTGCCTGTCCTGGGCATTATGATCAGGATACATTCAGAAAGTCATAGGAGTTGCTAATATGGCTTTATATGTAGCTGAAATGTGCATATCAATAGCATTTTTTAAAATGACATAATGTTGTTTAATTTCATATTAGTCCTACTAAGTGAAAGCCACCTTTTGGTAAAGGGGAATCAGGATTTAGTGCTACTCATTAACAAACTTATTTTTAAAATTATTTCTTTCTTGTTTTCTTTTCAGTTTGTGCTTGTTGCATGCACTTCAGGTAATGACTCTATAGGATGTTCTGATTAACTTTTGTTACCATGAAAACAAACAGTTTAATATGTTCAGTATATTCTGAAAGTATTCTGAGTTTACAGATAATCTCTCTGCTTTCAAAGAAAACATATTTCTTTATTAAACGAAAAGGTAGAAACCCTCTTTTTTCCAGCTTAAACAATGAAAAAAGCTATTAACTTCAGTGATAATATTGATTTTTTAAGTAGGTTCTATAAAATAACCTTTCACTTAACATCTAAGAAATAATTACTATCTGTTTTAATATCCCTATAATCTGCCAAAATATAAATTCCCTTTACTATAATGAAAAAGAAAAAGCCTAATTCATCACAGAAAAATATGCTCAAATTATTAAATCTGTGTGTAAAACATTTTAACATTAACGAAGGTGGGTGCAATTTACAATAATTATTTTGCATATATAGGAGGAGACACACACATATATATGTATGTGTATTTACACACACATGCATTTATAAGATACATTTAATCTTAAAACTATGTTTGATTTAACAGAAAAGTTAAGGGGCTTTGAGGAGTTTCCTTTAGGCAAGTAAGTTCAGGCAGATACATAAGCCCCAAAGTATGTACATTGATTCTAGTATGTTGCATGCTGGAGCAGCATACAGTGCATGCATGACTGAGTTTACACAGCAAAGGAGATTATATTATTTTTCATATTTTCAGATTTATATTGTCTGAAGCAGATAAGTTTATTTGCTTATTAGGCAAGACAGGGCAAGTTTTTCCTGTTCCTAGAAATGTTTTCTGTTCTGCAGCCTGGAACAAATGTGTCTGTTTAAAATTTAGTTTATACTATCTGAACTGCATGCCACATTAATCAATACTGTGCAATATTTTTTTAGCAATGAAATAAACTTAGAGGTTTGTGTCTTTAATTCAGACTGGTAAATTCTGAATCTAGCACATGGTGTGGAATCAGGAATTGTCATTCAACAAAAAATAGATTTAGATCTTGCGCAACTTGAGATTCATTGATTCAACACTTTCAGTTGTGAACTGGGTAATATTCTGCATAGAAATTTTTAAGAAATAATGTTTTAACAGGTGATATTTTTAAAAATTTAAAATCATATATGAGAAATACTGAAGTAAGCTGAAAAATTCTCCTGCTTTTGAAAAATATTTCAAAGATTCAGAGAGCACAACTAGACCTACCATCATGTTTGAAGGCTTCTGAAAAGTGGTAAAGATTTGTTGGGGAGTGATATTGTTGTGCAGCTCCTCTCCAGCCTGGTGAAGACAGACTTCCTAATGAAGGACTGCTTAAACGAGGTCTGTTCTTTGAATTAAATGAGGCTAAAGGTGAACTACCAGATTTAATTCTTAGGATAGCAGCATATGAAGTGGGGATACCAGGAACAGCTTCTGAATAATCTGGAAAAAAAAACACAAAAAAACCCAAAACAAAACAAGAAGTGAATACTGAATAAAGATAAAATCTATCATTTTTCAAAATAATACCTAGCTATGCAGTAGAAACGTTTTATCTATAGAAGGAGTGCCAGAGACACCCTGGACTCCAGAGGACTCAGCTTCTGGACAGAACTGGGTAGCACCATGGGGGTCTAAGGCAGAAAACTTCCCTGCAGTTTCAACACAATACAAAAATAAGGTGGTTATTTAATTTCTTATCTACAGTAATATAAGTTTTCAATACTTTAAATTCTATTTCTATGATCTTAACTCAGTAGTAGAAGAGTGTCTGCCAAGCCACTATCTTTCCTTCATAGCCTTATATTACTTTTTGTATGCAGTTCAAAAAACACTTGCCGAAGCTAAATGTTCCTCATTTCAATACTACTCTGCAAACCAAGTGGGCTAGCTAAAAAGCCCAAGAGCTCATACTTGCACAAATATCTTTCCCAAAAGCATACAAATGCCAAAGTCACCTCCTTTTCTGCCTTTGTAACTTCCTTTTTTTCCTTTTCTGCCTGTACTTAAAATTTCAGTGCCTACAAATAAAGAGCAATGCCCAAGGTTTTGGTCCCTGTGTAAGGCCAAATAGAAGAGAAATAAATAAATTATATTATTATAATAGATTAAAAAGATCACTCAGAAGATTCAGGAACAAAGCAAACAGAAATATTGAAATGAATAGTCCTTAGTATGCAACAGCCTTAACATGAGAAGAACGTTTAAAAAATACATCTATACAGATGAGCAAAGGGACTCAAACTGCATATCGAGTGCCTATGAAGGAACCAGTTTTGGGGGGGACAGTGGAAGTAGCTGGCAGGAAAAAAAAAGATCATTGTTCTGTCATCTCTGCTGCTGACAAGTATTTATAAATTGGACGTTCTTAACATTGTCATAATATGAACAGTGAAAAACTATGAGTGTTCAAAAGCTTTGAATAGCAGCACACTCAGCTGAAATACAATATATTTAAAATATTAGTTCATGGCATTGCTGAAGAACTTTCTGACAAACATGGTGGACATAAACATAATTTGCACAATTTCATGTTTAACATTATTTAAAATAGGATAAATATGTATTTTTCTTTATTAAGATTGCGACATGGAACACTTAAGAATCTTCCAGGTGTAAGATGTTGTTTCAGCACAGTATTTATTGTGTCCGACCAGATGATAAAAATGCACTTCTTCTACTATGCAGAAGGAGCTGGAATTTAGCAGAAGCAATATTTTAAAATTACCATTTTAAACTATGCAAAATCTAAATACACAGATTATTTGATGGTGCCATATCTCATTTAAAATTTGGATTTAAATACAGGTTTTGGCAATCATATGGAAAAGGCACAAATAGGGAGAACTCAACATTTTTCATCTTGGTCTTATGAACCATGGAATTTCTACTATACATCATGCTGTTTTTTGTATAATAAATGTAATATTATCTTTCCTGATCCACAAAGAGAGGGAGAAACAAAACATCATCTTGTTGAATTACTCTGTAGTGTGAAAATACATCTTACAGGACCTCTTGAAACTTTATCTTTGGAATAGAAATGTGATTTCATAAAAATACCTTAGACTGTATTTTAATACATCCAACATTTTGCAATAATGATGTATTTTAGTTCATCTAAAGTAAAATCTTTCCATAGGGGAAAAGCAAAGTAAAATCTTCCCAGTTCCAGGGGAGTATTTATTAAAAAAAAAAAAAAAGTTAAAAATTTCATTTAAAAATCGATTCCCATTAAAATAACTTATTTCCATTCTGATTTATTAGAGGTCAGAATCTCAAGGTCATTGTGGTTTATTGAATAAATTTTTATATTTTTCTCTTATTTTGGTCTCACCAAATGCTAGTTAATCTTATGAACAAAAATATTTTTGGCCTAACAAGTATACATTATTTCAGATAAATACAGTAGGAATGTCCATGTTTAAACTTATCACATTAAATGTTTAATGCAGAATGGACATTTTACTCAGGAGCAGAGAAGGAAGAAATTCCATGAGGAATATGGACACAGGAAAGGGATAAAAGTCTCCTACACAGTCTACATCAGAGGATGGAAATCCTCAGCAGTGAGCGTAGTAGTCCTGGTGCAAGGAGAGCTAATTAGTTTGGCATTGGAGCTCCTCAGATCATCACAGCTCAGATCCTCTGATATCCCCTGGGTTGCTGATACCCTCTCTAGAAATGCTGCAGGAAATGTGGATGTGGACAGATTGGGATGCAGTTCTGCTTTTCTCTCATGGAGTTGGGATGTGGCCAGATTGTAGCTGGTAACAAGGATGCAAGGCACCATGAAAAGGACTCTTTCTTTGAAAAGACACAATATCTGTCTTCTAAACACACATATATCCTTCTGCTTCTACTCCAATGTGAACAAGTGATCCGTAATTTATGTGAGACAGACGAAGAACTAAAAATAAAATGCTGGATTAGAATGTGTGGTTTCACAGAACTATTCCTGTGTATATTTTCATACATAAGTAAACTACTTCTAACAGGGATATATGATCAGAATCCATTTCTACTGTATTAAAAAAAAAAAAAAAGAGTAAAAAAAAAGTGGTGTGTTTTCCTCCAGTGTGCACACAGACATAGAAGAAGTGCACACACTGGAAGGAATTTTCCTTTATAATAAAAAACTGCAGGCCTGCCTTTGGTCCAAACTTTGCAACACAGCATAATAAACCTTAATAAGATTTCCAAAGGAAACATGATTGCAATCACATCTATAATGAATGTACTTACTGTTCCTTGAGTATTTTCTGCAGATACAGGCACTTTTCTGTTTTCAGCACGGTATTTTAGCTCTATGCTATTTGCCCCATGGCAAAGGACATGAAATTGGGAAAACTTTATGTCAGTAGTTTTTCATCAAATGAAACATACATTGTGTGCCTGAAATATTATTAGACTGTTAAATGTACTATGTGCCATACACATATCAGTAATAAAACTGTAATGTCTGAAGATCTTTTAACCTATGAAGTCTGTTTGTTGACAACAGAAGATAATTCCTTAGATGATGTTCTGGAGTATATCAACTATTCTACTTTGAGAAGATTCAGATAATTATTCTTATGTCATTTCATTGGAAAAACTATGAAACAGTCTTCATTGATGTGTATAAGAAAGACTTTCTGTGCAATCTGGAGAGTTTGACTTTTATATTGATTTTTTTTTCCAAAGAAATGGAGATTAGTAATCAGAAATTAAATACTAGCACTAATAATCAGATTCTTAGACAGACAAACTATTCCATACAGCTTCTATGTTCCTATTGCCCTGTATTTTCAGCTCGGAAACTGGGTCAAGTAAGCACATAACTCTTCAGGCTTCTACCTAAACATACTATTTTATAGTTCTTCCTTTTGTTTTACATATTACATTTTTCAGTTCAATGAAATACTGAGCATAAAATGCAGCCAGGCCCCTTCTCCTTTAGTGAGACTGCCATTTAACTATCCTCCTTACTGTATCTCTCATTCTCTGGCATCTCCACTTTCTTCCATAAAATCTCTTGGAAGAGAAGAGGAAAGGAGGAACACGAGAGGAACATCTCACAGGATGTTCCTCTCACAGGAGAGGAACATCTTTCTATCAGATTCTCCCAGATCACCCAGGAAACATGTTAAGACCAAGAAGCTTCCTTCCCCCCAGCTGCCCAGGCACACAAGAAGAACAAAATGTAGTATATATATATAAAGTTACAAGTAAACACATCAAAAATTACACTGATTTACCACCAAACCAAATTGCAGATTATACACCCATGGAAGAGAAAAATAACCATTAAGCCTTCTGAAATTGTACTATGAAATACTTTTTATTCTAATTGAAAGGTCATGGCAACTTATAAGACAAGGCATAATAAAGTTCCCAGTGAGCCTGGGCTAACAAATACTCATGACCTAATTATTTTGAAATCAGACTTCATGTCATTTGGATGAGTGGACGGAACAGCTGCCAGGCAGAGGAACATATTTGGAAGTGAAGTTTTGAGGAGGTGCAGAAGCCAGAAAAATGCAGAGGGTTATGCAGTTAAGTGGGACTAGAAAAAGGAGAAAGTACAATAGTGAGACTCCAGGCTGCCTGAATTTTGCTAATATATTCTATTGCTAGACAAAAGTAAATTGAAACAATTGAAGCTTCCTTTTCTGCAAAAGGTTGAATCAAACTGCAGTTTTTGTGAATGTAATATTTCTCATTTTTAGGCTATAATTCTCCAGTTTCTTTGCATACATAAGGTGAGAAACTACTCCAGGAAATAATCTTCAACAACCCTGAAATAGTTTTGACAACTTCTTTTTCCTGAAATAGTATGTGCAGGCAGCTTGGTGAAATGAAATTGTTTTGTAATGTCTCATCAAGTCCAGAAGACTGCAATTCTTTTCCCACTTAAAAAGAAAAAAAGATTTCAAAATTCTAATTCCCTAGTTGAATGCAGAACACTTATGCTGCAGTGGTAAATCCAGAGCTTGCAAGAACAGAAGAATCAACATGATCTCAGGTGTTATGTCTTGAAAGTAGAAGAAAGAGAAGAAAAGGATACAAAAGTCGTTCTACATGGTGAAAAGGTCCTGCAGTAATGGCAGCATTACACAGCTTGTTTCTGACCTTTCATGGTTTTGTTTGTCTGGCATTAGTGATCAATGTGAAATTTCACCCTGACTAGCTGTTTTGTCATGCTCATGGGGATGCTGTATCTCAGAAGAGCTTCTCTTGTAAGACATAACTGAAAATTGTTAATAAATTATATATAAGCAAATATTCCTTCTTTTGTTTACTGTATGCCTGTAGACTGTGTTTAAACCAACAACTGAAGCAGAACTGCTTGAAAAGAGTCCAGCGCAGAGCTACTAAGATGATTAAGGGAGTGGAACATCTCCCTTATGAGGAAAGGCTGAGGGAGCTGGGTCTCTTTAGCTTGGAGAAAAGGAGACTGA